ATTTCACATCACATCAGTGTCTTGATTAATAATACATGTGGCAACTTTTCTAAGTGCTCTGCTCTGCCCACCTTTCCCATTCACGGCCCCAGACACCCGCTGGCACAGTCGTGCTTTGGTATGGTGAGGTCACCCTAAACTTGGGTTGTCCAAGGAGGTATCTTCTAGAAGATGCAAAGTTGAGGTCTCTTACTAGAATTCATTTATGCAAACACTCATATCTTCCCACAGTTATGTGCCAGTACAAAGACTATGTGAAAAGGGAACATAACTAGCACAAGACTTGCCTAAAGCAGCATCTACATTAATACACATCGAGAGATGGTGGTCTGCAACACCCTAACTTCAACGGAGCTGTACACAGTACTCTTGATCAGTGCTTTGCAGTGGATGAAAGGGAAAAACCAGCTCCAGCAGCAAAGAATAACTGGATGGCCGTGCAGTCCTGAATCAGTCCTCTAAATATTCACCTAACAGAGCTGTAGGTGAGGAACTGCAGACAGTTCTTTACATATTTACTCAGCCACAGGATTACCACGCTCCAAATCACAGTCACTCCCTCATCCTCTTTCCCGGTACCTTTCCCACAGACTTTGAAGTGTTACAGAATTGCAAAGACTTTGAAACACTTAATGACAATAGTCGCAAACCCAATTATTAGAGAATTAAAGAACAAGAAGAAGGAGAAAAACGACCCGATGAGCAGAGAGGATATCAGAAATGTAAACGATGACTATTTATTTTCGGAAGCGGCTCACAAAAAACAAATATAAAACCCCAAAACAAAAAATCAGTACGGATGTTAGAAGAGGTGAGGCGGGACAGGGACAGGACCGCAGGGAACAGGATCCCGCGGAGCCCGGGGGGCACAGCAGACCCCGTTCCTTGAAGGCAGCGCTTTGGCAGAGAGGATATCAGAAATGTAAACGATGACTATTTATTTTCGGAAGCGGCTCACAAAAAACAAATATAAAACCCCAAAACAAAAAATCAGTACGGATGTTAGAAGAGGTGAGGCGGGACAGGGACAGGACCGCAGGGAACAGGATCCCGCGGAGCCCGGGGGGCACAGCAGACCCCGTTCCTTGAAGGCAGTGCTTTGGCACGGACCCACCAGCGGAGCAGCGGGCGCGGCGGCGGAGGGATGGACGGACGGATGGAGGGATGGGTGGGTGGATGGATGGAAGGATGGAGGGAATCTCTCACCGCTTGAGCGCCGGACAATGTTCTCCAGGAAGGTGTTCTGCGGTGCCACCAGCCCTCTCTTGCCCCCCGGCATCCTGCAGCGCCGGGCTCGGGGGCCGGGGGTGC